CAAAGAAAATGGCGTCTCCTACGATTGGAAAGTTGAAAATATGCAGAGACACACTGACCACACTGTAGTTTCATCGTGAAATCAACAAAATTTAGGAAAAGTGAAATAATTTCAATGTTGCATCTATAAAATGAAAGATAAACCTAGAAAGAAGGTAAGTATTGTATTGCTTTTATAATCCGTTTGATATGGCGGTCTTCTTTTGCTTCTACCAACGTCTCGATTTAGCTTAAAAACAGTCTTAGTCCGTTGCACTCTGGCGAGGATCACTGCCTTTGGCATCGGTCAGAAGAACTTGATTGCATCTGCTTGTAGATACTTGAGTTTGGTTATGTCGTCTGTTATCTCTTGTCAAGAGCGGAATTTGTTCTCATTAACACTGCTCTAGCAGACACACCACAGTCAATAACTGAATTGCACGTTGCCATTGTTGTGGTCATGTTTGAACATGACTATTGTTGGTCCTGAAAAGCGTTCTTTATGACTTGTGCGCATTCGCCAACCGACGTAGTCTGTAGCTTGTCATTGTCTTTGTTAGGATTTCATTGTGGTGTTCCGTGTTGAACAACAGGTGTCGGGTCATTTTAGGCAAGACTTAACAACTTGCATGGTGAAAACTATTAGTGTTCAAACCAGACGTTGAATGAGGGTGTCCCATAATGGGTCGTGTTGTTAAACCGTTTGTTGTAGTGGAGATTTTCTTCCTGGTGGTAGCATTTGCGGCTGCTTTAACGGTAGTCGTTCCCCTCTGGGAAACACAGGTAGGATTGTAATGTTTCATTGCTTGTCAGGGATTTGACAGAATTTCTGCTGTTTCCTGGGGTAATTTTTTCGCTCTATTAATATTGTTGCTGCTGTTGTTGCCGTTGCTTATGTTATTGCAGTTGTTGCTGCTGTTGCTGCTCCTGTTGCTATGCTGCTGTTGTTGTTGGTGTTGTTCTACTGTTGTTGCTGCTGTTTCGTTTGCTGCTGTTGTTCTTGATGATGCTGCTGTTGCTGTTGTTTGTTTGTTGTTGTTTGTTGTTATTGTTGTTGTTGCTGTACTGAGTTAATTTCTGAAAGCGTGTCATCACGCTTTGCCTTTTTGAAGGACCAATTTCCTAAAGTAAAGTGCCTTCCATACACAAGCGTCGACTACATCTTCAACCCACCTCATTATTGGGGAAGCATCACAGTCACGCCCCCGGACTCCAATGGAACGTGCAACTACTGTATATTCTCAGAGATAGCCGTCGCTGTGGTCGCTCTGTTCAGTATCGTCTATCGTATAGTCACGGTTTGCGACCAAAAATATGACATGTAAGTACCTTTGTGAGGATAAACACATCACCAACTATGCGCTAGATGTGTTAATTTACCAACCTTGTCTCCAAATCTCTAGAGCTACTGTTATATGTATGGGCGTTTTCAGTAAAGACTAAAAGATTACACGCTTGCCCCTAGTTATGCGTGGCAAAACGTTGGGACAAACTCACCATGGCTTGGACAATTCGGAAGGGGTTAGAATGAAGAGGAAACTGTTACCGTGAGAGCATTACCCTCCACGCTACAATGTATACTATTTTAAATTAATAAGATGCTACGACATTTTGGTTGTGAATAGGAGACGTCTTCACTTCTAATAATCTTGCAGGTCCTTTCTGCGGACAATATCTGTGCCCATCTATTTGCTGTGTACTTTGAGTGCACTGGTTGAGGGTGTCATTCTCCAAGTCGGTGTCAACCGCTTTCTGGCCATGATTATGACTTACAAAACGGGAGACGAAAAAACCAAAACGTAAGTTTTGCATGGATGCTGAAGGGCGCAGTTGCATGTGATCCTACACGTCACATTTTGTCGATTATGTAGTTACTGCAGTCGTTTAAAGAATGTGGGTTACCAGTCAGAAATATAAAAATAGCAAGCCAGATCAGCATTCCAACTGCGCACAGGAAAAGCAGTATGCGCGCCAAAGATCTGCACCCAATCATGCAGTGCCTCCATACGCGGACTTGTACGCGTGTTTTTGTCTCGAATGACCCTTGTCTCTTTGAAATTCTGAACTGGCTCAATATCTCAATGTTCTTTATATCTCAACACTGGGAATTATGTTACTAATCATCACGTGACCGATCACAGAATTGGTTCCAGCACAAAATATGACTACAACTGCAGTCTTTTTTCAGTTACTTACATTGTTTCCATAACGATTACTAATTGCACCTAGGATTCAGTGGTCAGGTTAATTGATGTGAAACGATGAGCCAACTGGAAGCAGTTAACCAGTGAATCGGGGGAGTGGTTAACCAGTGAACCGGTGGGTTAGTTAACCAGTGAACTGGTGAACTAGTGGGATGTGTAACCATGAAGTGAACTGGTGAGGTGGTTAACCACTGAACTGGTGAATCGGTGGAGTGGTTAACCAGTGAACCAGTAGAGTGGTTAACCAGAGAACCGGTGGGTTAGTTAACCAGTGAACTGGTGAACCAGTGGACAGTTTAACCATGCAGTGAACCGGTGAGGTGGTTAACCAGTGAACTGGTAAAACGGTGGGGCGGTGAACCAGTTAATTAATCAGTGAACCGGGAAACCAGTAATCACGGAAATGTGAGCGGCGGTCTTAAACAGGATATACCGTTGTTTTTCGCAGCTGCTACATCGTTCAGGCAGGATTGCAGAGAGCTGCTGAGTCAAGTTCGCTCAACTTGACCCTGAACTTCTGCACTGAGTTCAACGTTGCTACAGTAAGACCTGTTATCGTTATACAAATATTGTGATTCGTGGAGCATTCCATATTCATGGATCACCTCATGAGGATAGTTTTACTACACCACTCGAAGCAGTAAATATTTGTTTACCGTTGGCCTGATCGGAGGTTGTGCCAGTTTTACAGTCACGTCTTGGCAAAGGGGCAACCCTGAGGGATTTGCATGTTTTCCTCGTTTTTGCTGCAAAATGATAAAAATAACTCGGGCCTTAACCTTTTAGGCACAGTGTTGAAAAAATTCCGAGCACTTAACTAGTTAAATTTCAGGTATATTTAATGTAAAGGTTAAGAGTTTAGTCAATAATTCAGATTTTCCCCATAGAAGACAACACTAATTTTGCCCCTTTGTGTTTCGAGTGTGAAATATGGAATAACCATCAACTGACCAATCAGAGAGAAGAACCAAGACTCAATGACGTCGTCCCGACCCTGAGAATGCAGAGTAATGGAGATCACAAACCTAAATACATGTAGGTAGAACCGAAAATGGCTTTCTCTTTTGTGACGTAGGTGGCGTCCTGGGTCTCGACCGCGTCATGGCTTATCCTGACGTTGCTGGCAGGGATTCAGTTTCACATGCAACGTGTTAGCCCGTCAGCTGACCGAGAAAGGCTAGTCTATGGATCAAAGGACAGGCAGGAGACTTAGACAAGTCTAAGACCCATGCCCTCACCCGCTACAATTTTAATTAGTTTAATAAGAAAGAGTGGTATTAATGTTACGGACTATGACAAGGAGGAATCTTAGAACCAAATTCGTTAGCGGGTGGGCTAGAGATTGAGATTTTTTCGTCCATCCTTTTATTGCCTTTCTAAGGGGTAAGGCTACATTTTTGCACGCGTTTTGAAGGAATGGAAATGAAATAGCCTCTTTCTATTATTGAAAATGGCTCTTTTTCCGGGCTTGGCACTCACCCCCCTGCCCCCGATCCGCCCTTAAAATGTGACAGGTTTACAAACCGATTCCAAGGCTGTAACTGCCAGAATGGCAATTCGCTGGAATGAACCGAATGATATATAGACTGCGAGCATTCGTGAAACCTCGCGAAATCATTACATCTTAATTGGCTTCGATGTTAGGTTGCTTGGCATATCAGTAAGCAACGCTTTGAAATTTTGATTGTATACAATGATGCAAATGTGAATACCGCTTGCCCGGCCTCGTTTTTACATGGCAAAGCGCCCTCTAGTATATTTTTACGCAGAAGTTCGTTTTTAGTAGGCATACTTCTGGTTTTTATCTTTTTGTGTACAGAAGCTAGTACTTTCCTTCAAAAGGATGAAAAAAGTGTCGAAGATGTTTAAGAAAATCGTCTTTAAACGTTAATGCTATTCACTTTTATGTCAGTCTGATTTATTGACACAAATTTTCTTGACAAAATTCTTGTGACACAAAATCAGTTTGTCGTTATCACTTTGTTTACGTTTCAGTAATAATTCTGACGTATACCTCTCCTTCAATAGAGGCTTTGCGTGGTAGCCATCTTGTAGGGCAGTTTTTCTTTTGTTCCACCGGGAAATCTCCTTTGAGCATGCTCTGAGGAATAAAACAACTGCCCTGTAAGATTGCCTATATTGTGGGTCTCGTGCGTGCCAAATGTATGAGAAATGTATTCCAATCTTTATATTAAACATGTAACACTGGAATGTTGGTTTACCAATCAAGGTGCGGTCGATTCTCGAAGTGATATCAATCTTTAATTAAACTTAATCAGAATTGAAAGCACTCCATAATACAGTAGACTAAATTGGTTACTGTCTATCGTCTGTGTCCTTTCCGTAGATTTCTTCTTTCAAAAACCTGCAGGCATATCTGGAAGTTGGAGATTCTTTGCTAGGCGAGGATTTTTTTTTTGGGGGGGGGTCAACCTCTTCCCCTGCTCTGACACAAAAATATAAAATAAGAAACAATGAAATAACAAGTTATATTTTGAAAAGATGACATTCTTTAAAGGTTGTACATTAGTAACTGTAAAGCTATGCCTATGTAGGCCCATCTGTTTTGAATATTACCGCATCGTCTGGGAAAATGTTTTTAGGCTAAGTTCTAGGTTTATTTTTGTTTTTTATTTTTTACTCGTGTACCAACATGCCAGGATTACTCATTAAAAATTGTTAAAAGTGCAATTTTTTGAGAGAGGTGAAGGAAATTAGGAGGTAGAATATGGCTAAGGAAGCCCTCCCCTGTCCTAGAACCACGCCCCCGCTGCAAAGTGCCAACTCAGAAAAAAAGGAATTTTTGGTTGGTTTATTTTTAATCTACTTTTTGTGCTGAAAGCACAAATGCGTTGTTTGTTACTCTTGTCCACTGCTGTGTAAGGCTTCCTCCAAAATCTCATTATCCACTGTTAAATGTAAACTTTGTCCTTGTTGGTTGCTATCTTCTGATTTCGGCAACTTCATTGACATACTTATTGGTTTTCATCTCATGCAAATTTCTGACCAGATTATAGGGGCGGGAAAATCCTCTTAATAGCGGACTTTGTTCCGCTGCGAGTCGTTACGTAATGAACGACTGCGTAAAAGCACCGACACAGAGAATTAGAGTTCACGCCAATGTAAACAAAGGGAAGGAGATTAACATATTTTTCATTAAAAATTTCGAAATAGTTGTCGTTGTGGTTCAGAGTTTCAGTACAGTTTCTGATTCAGTAAGGGAAGCTACAGTGCTGTTGTTTTGACCGCTCTTCGATGCACTTGAGTCTTTGTTAAGATTACAAACGTAGCATCAACATCCTCCTGCCAAAATTGTTTTTCAGATTTTCCTTTTTAGCTCGAAGATATTAATTTTCTACACTTCCCGTTTGAGTTTTCGCTGAGCCAGGTCGCGGGCGCAGTATCTTCATTGCATTATATTGCTAAAGGCGTTTCAAGGTGCTTGAATTCCTAAAATGACGTCGGCCATGTCTAGGTGCTTGATCCTGTTGGAGACAGTTTTTCTTCTGGCTGCAGTAGCGGCTGGTTTAACGGCTAGTATCTCATTGTTGCTTGCTCGGGTAAGTATTTGAGTTCTCGTAACTTTTAAGTTTATTTAGGTACAAAGGGATGTTCACCGTTTAGTGTTTTTTCCTGGTACGATGTGAACTTTGGTTGAAACATTTCTAAATTGAATCTAGCAACAGTTTATATCATGCACGATTTGCCGGGCAAGGGCAATTTTTGGTTTTTGTTCTGAGCAATGGTGCAGCCGGGTGTCCTGTGAATTGTGGAACCATGGAAATCGCTTCAAGCACAGCTGACGCATGCGCAAAACAGCCTACGGGGCCATATTTCATGGATTCCAAATTTCATGCTGCATCAGACAGATTGGGCGCAAAACACAATGTGATCCTTCAGATAAAGGTCTACCTTAGGGAGCAGGTTACCAGGGAAAATGCCGCACGATGTTTATAGAACATATAAAAGTGTTGTAGCTGTTGTCGGCTAATTTTGCTCAGCACATAAATTTTGCTCCGCACAAAATAATAGCTAAACTAAAACCCTTTCTGGAGACGGTGCCGCGAGATGTCCAATGTTATTGTGATTGATTAGAGGTGATACTTACCAGGCAAGTAAATGTCAACCGTCGTCGGTAAACTTGTCTGTGAGGTTGGACCCGAGAGGGACCGTCTCTTTGGATTAAATGATAACTTTAGTTCCTTCGATCCCAGGACGAAATTCCCGACTCTAACTGCCTACTCTACGGGACTTTTAACTGGACTGGAGCCGCTGTAGAGGGCGACAAACCCAGATGTGATTTGAGCTTGTGCTTTCAGTTCGTCGTGTGCGGTGTAGGTTTGGTGAGCGCTATCTATCGGTGCCTCAACATTCCGTGCGAGAAGTTGGACATGTAAGTGATACCACCCTTTTGAATAATACCCCCCCCCCAGGATTGATGCCAGGGTCAGAGTGTTGTCATCACGAGAGGGAGCTGTTCATAAAATTTAATTCACGACCTAAGGCCCTTTTCCAATACTCGATTTGGGCTCCGTCGGAGGCTTCGTTCCCAAAACCAATCCCCGATTGTGGACCTGAAGCGTTTAAATTAAATTGGATTACTGTAATTTCTGGCTCTCTTGCATCTTATTTGATGTTTTGTGGCACTATTAAACTAATTACTGCGCTTACAGCTTCAACGTCAGCTAGTTAAAAACAGTTGAAGCCTGAGACGGAGCCGAAGTTGAGTATTGGAAAACGGCATAAATTTTGACTTGCTCAATAAAGACCTGTATAATTATGTCTTAATGTCTTAACATTTTATAATTTTATGCAACACATCCGTGACTGTAAACTGTTAAACAATACCAGCGGGATCTTATCATTTGAATGCACCTTTTTGTTCCAAACCGACTGTTATACCACCAAGCAGTAATTAAGATGACATTTGTTTACTCGTAAAAGAAAATACACCCGCACAAGCATCATTTTGTTCACTGTTCAATTTTCCAACAGTCTGTGCAATCAAACAGTCTTTACTTTTCTTGGGCGTTTTGGCTTGCATTTTTGTTCACAGTAAGTGCCTGCGTGTGTTATCAATTGTGATCTACCTGCTGTGTGTGGTCTGTGTTCTGATCGAGAGTATTCTGGTGTATGTTGGGGTCGTACGATTCTGCGACTCCATGATAGAAACTAACCCAGACCTTCCAGAAGATTCGAGGTAAGACAGACTGGAAACCTTTCCTCTCTGTATTGGGTTGGTCAGTGGCCTCTAAGCTTTGATTTTATAGTCTAGGCTTCGTAATTAGCATTCGTCAATCTTGAATTTGATTAGCTGAGGGCATCATCATGAACGCAACGGGCGGGCCTTTCATTTGCGGTTGGGCGATTTAAATAAATTGATTAGCGATGAGCTAATGTCAAAGGTCATCATCGTAAGAAACCGTCCTCATTGCGGTCCAGTTCAACGAGGGGTTTCGACTACATAATAAGCTTTTTTCTTTCTTTCTTGTCAAGCCACTGTACTGAAAATGTTTTTTCTTCCACTTACGTCAAGTTTCAGTTCACATGACGTGCCTCACCAGTTAGTATCTTAATAAATTCAGTATTTCATAATTTTCAAAATAAATTGGAGTTTTGATAGCGGCAAGTTTCACCATTCTTTTTTCCTTCTAGCTGCGATAACAGCCAACTTGTCTTCAACGAACAGAATGGAACTGACGCAAAGTTCTACGATTTCCTGAAAATGTCCACGGTAAACGCATGCCAAATTCTTTCCTCAAACCCTCAATTTCATCTTTGAATTTGTGAGGTTTCGTTTGGCTGATGATTTAAAGTTATTTTTTTTTCATAGTAGTAGGATGGCAATCTGTAAATCATTATTTGAAAACAAATTTTTCTGATATGTTAGAAGATTGTGGCGTGTCCTTGCAGTTTTAGAAAAGTTGTTTCTAATTGAGGCCTGTGCACCCCTCCCCGTGCCCGATCATTCAGAAATTATAGAGAATGAAAGCAACCAGTGAAAGTGCGCCTTGGTAAGTGTTCTAATTGCGACAGAACCTCATTGAGCGCCCCTTCTAGGAAATGAAGGCGGCAAGTGGGCCACGTACCCATGTACCCAGGTTACGCCACTATAACATCGAACCTTTGTGCGGGGAAAGGCGTACAAGCATGGCGTACATAGTGTGGACCTAGCTCTGCACAAAAGAAGTCCACATAATGTAGGGTGCGATGGCGTTGTGTGTTTTTACAGGTTTGGATTTTGTCTCTTTCCAGATCGCTTCTTGGGTGTCCCTGGTCACGTGGCTGATCCTGACTGTCATTGCGTGTTTTGCCATGTGCTGCAGACAAGACGAGTATGCCTAAACTGAACTTGCTGATGACATCAGGATGATGTCACCTTTGGATCAAATGTCCCCGAGAGTGTTGTAGTATAAACACTTAGCTGAAGAAAGCGAAGGTTGTTCTCAAATACCATGCAAAAATGGGAAGGATAGTGGATGACAACATAGTCATGGCGTTATTCAGAATAATGAGCCTGATCTGAAAATTGACATTAAAATAAAAACCATGAGCATGAAGTATAAAAAAAAGAGATGGCAATCACGGTGGGGTACTTCAAATCGAATAAATTTTAAGTGTTGTTAGATTTAAATGCATTTTTCTAAGTTAGGGTAGAAAGTCGAAACTATCAGATTAATTAACATTCGAACTTTTCAAACGTATCTTTTTACTTTTCGAACGACTACTTTGTTTATTCAATTGCATATCTGTTTCATGTACAGCCAGAGTTACTCAACCTAAAAGATATTAAAGATAAATCGCCTAACTAGGAATTTCGTAATGAGATAAAAGACGACGGTCAAATTTAAACTGATCTGGGGTGTGGCGAATGCATGACGTCATTCGATGTGGTGTAATGCTCTTAACGATCTGACAACCGTCTCCATGACTACGATCCCAGTCACATTTATTGCACATTTATTGCTGAATCTGAATTTGGCAGGTCATCAGATTGTTTGCTTAACCAATCCGATGCAAGAATCAGTACCCGACCTTTGCCCTCTATTCTGCCATGTTCCGTGGACTTCAGGCTGCTCAAGTCATCTTTAAAGTCTCACCTTTGTCTCTAAATAATGTCCTAAACTCTTAAAGTTATAAAACTTGATGAAAATGCCCCCAATTTGGAGGAAAAAAGACAATGCACTGAACCAGACGTTTTCATCTTAAGAGACCAGATAACGAGTACTACGCCGAATGAGGCAGAAGCGAAGTGTATGTTCAAAACCTGTCTTCATTCACTGACTCAACGAGGTATGTGAACGTAAACCAGTGAAGTGCAACCTCGTTGCCAAGATTATTCCCGCCCTCAGCGACTTAGCATTATAATCATCCTCCTGCCTTTAAGGTAAAAATAAACACCATTTAATCTACATCAAAGCCCTTTGAAATGCATGGAATCATAAGAGATACCTTTGACATTAGATATTTACAATTTGTAAATAAAACTTAGTCAATATTCATATCAGAATGATCAAAGAGGTAGTACAACTAATCTACGCCAAATGTACAAATTCTTAATGCATTGAATTGTGAGTGGAAATTTGGAAATTATTTTTGAATGAGAACATTATGCAATCTACGCACTGCAGGAGACCTTTTGCGTTTGCGTTCAGGATTTTCTTTGAAGATTTTTCCCACTCACTGTGCAGAAAATCAGGATTGTGTTTCAAACTTTCTTACAGCAAAGCACTAAAACTCATTGAAAGTTTCGCAGTTATTTCTAAAGTTGCCAAAAACTGTTGTAGTGTCAACTGTTGTTTCACTTCATACAATGGGTAACAGTAGACGCTTTGATAAACATTCAAAAAAAGAAAAAGTATGAATCATGCTTGTTCCTAGCGGAGATGTTTTTAAAGCGATAGAAGATGTATCATTTCGTGAGCAGCTTGAAACTGAAGAGGCGCTTGACGACAATGCGAACTCGAATGACTTAAAAATCGAGTGGATGATACGTCGGTGAGGGCGTCCTTTGATGGGGTGGCGGCTAGCAGAGGGCGCCCTTCAGACTGTGCCGCATTTGTCGTACTCCAAATCGGCCTGTCGGATGGCTCTGCACAGACACACGGCGAGTATCATCACCAGAATCTGGCGGGAAGAAACCCAGGTTTGAATAAAAAAGAGAGAAAGGTAAGACAACGATTCATAGAATATGAGATTACTGTCAGCCTTACCATTATTTTGGGACATGCAATTAAATTTCAAGCCTCAACAGGAGAGTAAATCAAGCCTTTTAATTTCTCTTCTCTGTTGGTCCTGTAATGTTTGGAGAAGTACTGAAAAAAATGACGGTTCTGTGTTTCATTCTCCTCGATGCAGAATGATCAGATGGAACAAAGAAATACCTATTCAATGAAGCATCTGTTGAAGACGGGGACTTTCAGTACCGCTTGTATGTTTGCTGTTATTCAAATTAGCATCATACAGTTGCCCCAATCCTTGCAAAAAAGCCCACCAATGTTGCAGCGTCACGTCTGAACCCCTCCCCATAAAAGACCGGAATAATCCACAAGTCAGCCTTTTATACGAGCATCCTGTGACTAATTCAAATAGCTTCGTGAACCATAGACAAAGCGTGCACGAGCTCAGCAGGCTGACCGCAGATTGCAGCCGGGGTTGGGTTTTATAAGCAAGTTGTATGCGTGCTGGCGTTTTTTAATCAAGCACGCAGACTCTGTATACACCAAGATCTGGACAGTTGAGGTCCACAATCCAGAAAGTTAAAACGACGCCATGTTGTTCACGGACTCATTTACAAGTCAGGTAGCCATGTCAGCCTTGAAAGTGCTGTCGTACTTGATTTTCGTAAAGGCTGAAACAAACTTACCTGAGCGACTGCCACTGATATACACACGCCCACCAGGGTGAAAATATTCCCTTGAATTATGCTGCTGACTTTGGCTTTGCAACCCTTAAAAACGAACATTAAAATAATTAAATCAGGCTGCAATTGAAACAATGACTATGACTGCCAGGCATCGCCGTCTAACCACGGACGTGTATAATAAAATCTGGACTCGCAATGCCCTTAATCAGCTTATAGAGATCATTGAATCCACTCGCGGCCATTTTACCGAGCCTAATACAAAGCTTTCTAGCAATGCCCGCCTTTGTTCTTCCTGATGTCAATAGAAGGGAGCCAACCCACGCATTTGTATTTGGCTCGGTAAAATGGCCGCTGGTTGGCTTCTTCTTCATACAAAGGCGTTGCAAGTCCAGGTTTTTTATATACGTCCGTGCTTCTAACCACCAACCCACCAACAAAAACCAACAACCACTATTAACCAACTAACAAACCACCGCCAGCAAAGCAGCGGCCAACACTACCATTGCAATACTTACGATGGTAACAGAAACCATGCAAGGTCACAATTAAGAATACTTAATTAAACACACTGTATAATGAAGACGATCCGACGGCCACACAACTATACCTCATCAAAGAGTGTTTCGTCTTCTGGGCAGTCGGACGTGCAGTTGACCACGCCGCATGAAACAGGAATGGTCTGACCAGACTCTAACCAGTCCTGATGTCCATTTGCCCCGCAACACTCAAGCTGTGGATGACCAAATTAAATTGGTGGGCCATGGATAGCTTCATAGATAGCTTTCGTGGCAAACAAAATCCTGGTAATGGTCTTGAGTGGTTTGTAGTTTGTTGCAAAACGTGCTGACGTCCAGACAGGCGAATGCATCATAATAATTATTAATAATCTCACAATCTGCAGGTCTCTATCTTGAACAAATCCCTATCTTTGACGGACGAAATATCACCTTTTCTGTGCACGGATTAACTTCATTCAAAATTAAAATACGTTCTCAGTAGCATAAATTGGTTCTATTCTTGTTGGGTTTGTTTTCAAACATGAACATGTACATGTATTTGTTTATTTTTTTCGATGGAGGAATGGACTTAATTTATCCCTTGAATTTCGACATTCGGAACTTGAATTCTTGAAATGAGTAGCACAAATTCCGCCTACAGAAACAAACTTTTCGAAATGTCCAGTTGGCCAGCAAGTCTGGAGTGTGTAGACACTAGAGGTCGCTCTCTTACTTACACTAGACTGCGTGTAGTCCACGGCTACTTGCGTTGCTTTGTCTTCGTCGTATTTTTCCGTGACCAACCACTCAAAGTAGTTGCCCACTTTGTTGCCAAGCTCTGCCCTGTTGATGTAGATCCATGCACTTGCTCCAACTTCCAAACCAAACAGCAGGAACAGAATAACGAAATACTGTCAAGAAAATTAAACAAGAAAGAGAAAAAAAATGTACGTATATATTTGAGAGGGGTGTTTAGAAAAATTCTTGCAGTTAGGTTTATGTTTCAACCCTATAAATAAGCCCTCTTAAGAGTTTTGTTTTCGCATCGCACCCTGAGGAGTTTTCAAGTCTTATTGGCAATCACATCGACACCAATTTTCTTGAAAATCGCACATACCGTCCTCGTGAAACCCTCACTTTTGTGAGACAGATTAGGAAAAAATGTGACCTACAATCCCCAAACCAGGCTGAGGACGGTAACTTCATAATTCTAAAATAGTGAAACTTCCACTGTTCAGATTTTCATGGGAGTTTTACAACTGTCACTACCCATAAGAAGCTTACTTCAGACAAAATTCTGAATTAACATAGATTACTTTAAAGTGAAAACAAAAATGAAGGAGAGGAATTGTCCAACATCACAAAATACCGACTTGAGCCTGGTTAGGGGATGGTGGGTCACAACTGTGATTAGACTTCCTCCGTTGACGTGCTG